ATCTTACCCTCAAGTGAGTATGTACCAGGCAGATGGAAGAACTTGAACCCATATCTGTCTGACTTCAGGCTCTGTTTTCTGTCCTCAAAACCAGCCACGTCACTCACCCGGATCCGAGTGAGATTAAAAAAAAAACAAAAAACTGGTCAGAAACACACAAAATCCACTGGGTATCAACATTTGAGGCTTAACTTCGGTTTAATCCATTTGTTCCGCTTTTCCCCTCCCCCCAGTATCGCCCACCATACTTGGAGTCCATTGTTGTCATGGAGACTAAAGCAGAAAATACTGGCAGATTGAGAACCGCAAAGATATGATAGTGACCATTTACTCTACTCTCCTCATCTGTAAAATGGGGATAATAATATTCCAACCTTCCTCCCAGGGTTTTCTAAGGATCAGACGAGACAATATTTGTAAAGCACTTAACAAACCTTTAAGTACTATATGAATGCTGGATATTGTTATTATTATTATTATTATTATTATTATTGAAATTACCAAGGTAGAACCCGTAGAGAGGAGGAGAGCTGGTCTCTTGAGGTCCGTCAATTCCAAATCCAATGCTGTTATGCCACACTACCCCCTAGAGGTCCAAGATGTCCAAAAATGGTTGGGCAGAAAAAATGACAGATTCCTACAGAATTCAAAATACAGTAAACTGGGCAAGGTCCTTGTTGACCTCAAGATCACAGACTCTCAGAATGTGAAGGGTTCTCGGGGGCCATCTAGGCCCGTCTCCATCTGAACAAGACTGCCCTCTACATCGTCCATTATTCCTGCCCCTCCTCCTCTGAACTAATATTTCAATAAGACTGATAAACTGCAAAGAATGAGTCATTCAGCTGCTATAGCATATTCAGAAATGAATTTGGTGGGGCAAATGCTAGTCAGCAACTGCTTTAGATGTAAGTTGACTCTGCCCAGAAACTAAAGTGGTTTAGGGGACAGTATACTCCTGGTTCAGGAGGCTTCTGAGGAAATAGTCCTATTGTAAGAGGTATTGGATGTTACATGATTCTGGGACTTTAATCGCTGGGTCAATCAAGAATATAAGGGTGATACTATGACTGGGAATATTGGAAGAATACACCAGAATGGGGGGATGGAGCTGACAGTATTAGAGAAGAACCCTACCACCCCAAGGGGACCCCCTAGAGCCAGGAGGAAGAGCCAGCCAGGCTCTGAGGGATCTGACTCGTCAGTGCCAATGGGGTTTGGAGTGAAGACTTCCAGGGTTTATAAAGGCTACCCCAGTACTAGGGGTCACTAGATGAAAAGATGGGCTTGGTTTTATGGTACCCCAGGTCTTCTAGTGCAGTGCTTGGTTGGCTACTGTCAGGGCTCTGGTGCCCAAGAGGTCAGCATCTCTCTTAATCCACAGCCTGGGCAGTCCCAGGGCAAGCTACAATGAACCAAGGTATTGTAATAAAACAAAAGCCATTTACTTGGAAGAAAAACAAGGAAAAGAACAAAAGTGAACCACAAGCCCTCCATCACCCATTTCCCTCCCATCTCCCAAGCCTCTAGTTCCCGAAGATCCTAGTCTGAGATCCTTCCCTGAATGGCTCTGTGATCTAGGCAGTGGCCAAGGGTGTTAGAGGCGTGCTCATTCCATAAAGGATGAAGCCTGGGCACTGGGGAGGTAGGCTTCCTTGTTACACAGATACTAAAAGCTGAAACACTGAAGAAAACGTTTCCTCTAGGGAGGTAGAAATGCATTCTGTGGCTCCTTCTACGAGGAACTCTAGAACGGTCTGAGGGGAAATGACCCATGCTGGACTGTTTCATTGACTTCTCCTCAGCTCTGCCCGCTGATCTCCTACCTGCCACTTGTTCCACCTAGATTTCTGTTCAAATGGGCACTGGGAAACTGCTGACCTAATGCAGAGCCCTAATTTCCAATAAAACAACAACAACAACAAAAAAAATAAAGATCAGATAACTTTGAAGCCGTTTTTTGTATGTTAGGATGACCGGCAGGATGACCATTGGGTGTGCTATAGAGGGCATCCTTTACAGGGTTGGGTTGGACGTGATGAGGTCTCTTAAACGTCTGAAAATGTGTGCTTTCAAAGGTCTGATAAATTTCTAAAATAATTCTCTCTCTTTCTCCTGTTTCTCTCTTTATGTCACACATTTTATAATTCCATGGAAAAATAAGCTGTTTATGATAAACAATTTATTTATAATAAATGTTTAAAATAATGAAGTTTAAGAAGAAAAGCAACCAACCAGTTTCCTGATGTTGGAAAGATGGTGAGAATTCCAAAGGAAAGTGAGAGTATTCTAGGATCAACAACCCAGGGGGGCTCCTTAACCAGCCCATCACCCTCCTCTCCATCTCTTCATCTCTCCTCTGTGGATGTGAATGTTTGTCTCCCTCTGTGCCGCTACGAATGTATTTTTGTGAATATCTGTATGTGTGTGTATATCTCACTTTCTCACCGTCTCTTTTCCCTCTCCTCTCTCTGTTACTTGTGATGCCCTCCTCTGACTCTGGTGTGTGCAGCTGTCTTTTTTCTCTTTCTCAGTGTATCAGTTTCTCTTCCTCTCCTCTTCCCCGAACTCAATAATAGCATGTTTACAGGCTGGACCAGAAGGCCACTGAGCCCCCTTCCAACCTAAATCTCCTGGAGCTCTTGCTCTGGGTCACTCCTCAAACTCAGCACTCAGGTTTGCAGTTTAGGTCCCCAAGGAAGTGATGACCTTGGAGTCTAGGGAGACCAATGAGACCTCTCTTCTATTTTTATTTTTTTTTTAATTCTGAATTAAAAAAAAAAAAACTTTAACTGTCCAAATACAAAATACAACACAAAAGGAGGATCGTATGTGAAACCACATATTTCTGTTCTATATCACTATGATGATTAAAAAGGTTCCAGAAACATAATTTCTGGGTAGTTTAATCATTTTATTAATAAGGCCAGCATGTTATTAATAAAAGGATGGTCATGTGGCATCTCTCTTAGACCAAAGACAATTATGATGTTGGGTTCACAGTTTATATATCATTGTTTGTTCGTTTTCAAAGACGACCAAATGACATCACCATGTTAGAGTCAAGTTTTAGTGTGTCCAACTGTAGCTGATCAGACCAATACGAGCTCAGAATGCTCTACCACAGGTTGGGTCAAATGGTCCATGTGAACCTTTGGGGTGGGTTCTCTAAGTTTGTGCATCTTGGGGTTCTCTTGAGCTATTTCAATTCTGACCTGCTCAGAACACAGCACCTTCTCTGATGTGGGCACGCCATGCTAAGTGGTCTTGTGCCAGTGTCTCCCATGTCACACAATCAATTTCCAAAGTTCTTAAGAGAGACTTTGAGCGTCCTTGTATTACTTCTTCTGAGCACCATGTGAAGGCTTGCTCGGTGTGAGTTCTCCATAAAATAGTCTTTTAGGCAAGTGCACATTTGGCATTTGAACAACATGGCCAGCCCATCGGAGTTGTGCTCTCTGAAGCAGAGTTTGAGAACTTGGCAGTGTAGTTCGAGAAAGGACCTCAGTGTCTGGTATCTTGTCCCGCCAGGTGATCTTCAGAATCTTCCTAAGACAATTCAAATGGAAGTGATGCCGTTTCCTGACATGGTGCTGGTAGACAGACTGTCCAGGTTTCGCAGGTATACAACAATGAGGTCAGCACAATGGCTCTGTAGACTTTCAGTTTGGTAGTCAGTCTAATACCTCTTTCTCTTACATACTTTCCTTCGGAGCCTCTCAAACACTGAGCTAGCTCTGGCAATACATGGGTCAACCTCATTATCAATGTGTACATACATCTCTGGAAAGTACACTACCAAGGTAAGTGAATTCATCCGCAGCATTCAAAACTTCTCCATTTGCTCTAACCAATGGTTTCACCTATGGATGGTGTGGTGTTGGCTGATGGAGCACCTGTGTTATCTTGGTGTTAATCATTAGGTCAAAATTAGCACAAGCAGCAGAGAATCGATCCATACTTTGTGGCATCTCAGCTTCAGAGGCTGCATTGAGTGCAAAATCATCTGCAAACAGAAAATCATGCACCAACACTCTCTCCACTTTGGTGGAGGTCTTGGCTTATAATCTTTCCAGGTTGATTCAGTTTATATATTAGACCACCCCCAGCCTTGGGCTACCTAAACAAAATGATCTGTCTCCACCCAAGTTTGAGTAGAACAGGGTGGGCTTCCCCACCTCAGATTAAATTGCTGTTAAAGTTGGGTGGGGTCTGACCAAGATTGAGAAGTGTTAAATCAGTCTCATTATCGGTAATATCCTTCCAGACACTGAACTTAAAATCTAGACTTTGGAAGATGGGAAGAGCTCTGAATCTCCCCAAGATATTGGTCACTAATAATCATTTTTTCTCATCACTTAAAAGTATATAATAAATTCAACTCATTACTTTCCAAACTATTCTTATATTTAATCCTTTATCCTTATCCTTATATACGAAACCATGGATTATTTTGAAGTGGTTGGAGGAGAATATTGGGAGGGTTCTGCTTTCTCTACTCTGCCATCTTGGCTCTGCCCCTGGCTAGATGTGTCTTAGGAGAAAGAAACATAGCACTCTCCACTTGTCCACTTTTGAAAATTGAGAACAAGGAATATTAACATCCATTCATTGAAACAAACAGTGAATTACATTTTTCAGAATGTCATAGGATTGTAAAGGAGGGGGGATTTGGCTCCTCTCCAGCCTCCCCCCTTGTTGCTGGCGTCTGAGAAAGTAAAGAATTACTATCAGAGGTAATGAGTGCTAACGTGTTAAGCAGGTGTTAACTAACCCTAGTGGGTTATCACTTTACAAAGTGTGAAGACTTTCCCTTGGATAAGCACACCTCCGGCTGGGCCTTTGCAAGGATATAAAGAGCGAAACTTCGAGTGCATTTGGTGTTTGAGGGAGTCCAGGTCAGGAAGCAGCTCGTGCAGAAAGAAAGGAGGAAATTTCCCTCTCTCTCCTTCCCTGTCCACAGCGGCCTTGTAGCATTGGGAAGGAGTGATTAGCCCAAGATGGCCAACCGCACAGGGAAGGCCGCTGGCAGCATCCACGGGACCAACCCACAGTACTTGGTGGAGAAGATCATCCGGACTCGAATTTACGAGTCTAAATACTGGAAGGAGGAGTGCTTTGGCCTGACAGCTGAGTTCCTCGTGGACAAAGCCACGGAATTGAGGTTCGTGGGGGGCATCTATGGCAGCAACATCCAGCCAACAGCATTCCTGTGCCTGACCTTGAAAATGTTGCAGATACAACCGGAGAAGGACATCGTAGTGGAATTCATTAAAAATGAAGATTTCAAGTACGTGCGCATTTTGGGGGCCCTGTATATGAGGCTAACGGGCACTGCCATGGACTGCTACCACTATCTGGAACCCCTATACGATGATTATCGGAAAATTAAGATCCAGAACCGAAACGGAGAGTTTGAATTGATGCACGTGGGTGAGTTTATCTATGAACTGCTACACAAAGAGCGGGTCTGTGACATTATCCTGCCCCGGCTCCAGAAGCGCTGCGTGCTGGAGCTAAGTGGGCAGCTGGAGTTTCGAATCAATGCCTTGGAGGACTATTTGGAGGATGTGAAGTCCGGCGAGGAAGAAGAGAAGATGGATGACCAGCTGGAGTGGAGCCCAAGCCCAGGTCACTGCCGGCCAAGGTACAGAGACCTGGACAAGCTTAGCGACTCCCTGCAGCCGCTCTACAGGCGAAGCCGCCCCGGATCTCCAAGGAGACACAGACGCTTTCCCAAAAGGAGAAGTCCATCCCGCGGTCCAGAAAGACATCGCAGCAAGAGGCCAAGACACTCCTGGATCCGATCCCGATCCCGAGCGCGGAACCGATGCCCGGCGCGGAGCCGGTCCTCAGAGCGAAGCCGGTCCTCAGCGCGGAGCCTGTCCCGAGAGCGGAGCCGACGCCCGGCGTGGAGCCGGTCCCAAGCGCGGAGTCGATGCCCGGCGCGGAGTCGATGCCCGGCGCGGAGTCTATGCCCGGCGCGGAGCCGGTCCCGGGCGCGGAGCCGGTCCCGGGCGCGGAGCCGGTCTCCGGCGCGGAGCCGGTCCCGGGAGCGGAGCCGGTCCCGAGCACGGTGCCTCCGTTCTAGATCAAAGTGTCTAGGCCATCACCCAAGCCAAAGACACGGGAGCCACTCAAAGTCCCCTGAAAGGTCGAAGAAAAACCACAAGAAGAGTGGACGACGGAGAGGGTAATGGACGCTGACACCAAGTCCCTTGGGATGTGAAGGCACCTTCTGCAACTCTTCCCTGCCCCTGCCCCGGTTTCTATGACTTTTTTTTTCAAACTGCCCTAAGACAGGGGCAGCTAGGTGGCGCAAGTGGATAGACCACTGGTCCTGAAGTCAGGAGGACCTGAGTTCAAATGCGGCCTCGGGCCAATCACTTGACACTTACTAGCTGTGTGACCCTGGGCAAGTCACTTAACCCCAACTGCCTTATAAAAAAAACTGTCCTAAGACAAGCCGTGCTTAGATTATTTTGTGACTGTGAAGACTTATTTTGCATCCTTCCCCATTTGTCTGGAGGGAAGAATAATACCTTTCACCTTAAGGACTGCTGTGACTCCTTTTGTACCTCATTTTGGCTGATGACACAAGTTTTATCTGCAGACAGATTAAATTGTGATAGACTGCGTGCCAACCCTTTCCTTTGGTAACTTTGTTATTAAATATTACATATCTCTGTTGACCGTACCCTATTTTGAGAAAACAAGCAGACAGGCTAACCTTTTCTTTCTAGGCAGTGGAAAGAATCATGGATTGAGTTTAAATTCTGCCCTTGAAACCTTAAATAAATTTTTGGAGGAGAAATTTGCCTGTGTTTTCCTCATCTCCACAAAATTTAGGGGGTTGTACTTGCTAATCTCTAGGGTCCTTTCTAGGTTAACATCCTGTGATACAAAGTCTTGTTTTTGTTGTTGTTCAACCTTAATTCCGGCTTTTGATTCCTCCAGCCTGGCATTTCGCTTGATATACTCCATATAGAAGTTAAATAAATAAGGTGATGATACACAGCTTTAAAACCTTAAACCAATCAGTTGTTCCATATTTGGTTCTAGCTTGCTTCTTGGCCCAAACACAGGCTCCCCAGGAGACAAGGAAGATAATCTGGTACTGCCATCTCTTTGAAGACTTGCCATATATTGTTGTGATCCACACAGTCAAAGACTTTGGTGCACTCAATGAAGCAGAAGTAGATGTTTCTCTGGACTCCCATGCTTTCTCCATAATCCAGCAAATGTTGGCATTTTGGTCTCTAGTTCCTCTGCTTCTTCAAAAACCAGTCTGCGCTTCTGGTGATTCTCAGTTCACATATTGATAAAACCTAGCTTGCCGAACCTTTGGCATAACCTTGCTGGTGTATGGAATGAATACAATTGTTCAGTAATTTCAACATTCCTTGACATTGCCTTTCTTTAGGATTGGGTCGAAAACTGATCTTTTCCAATCCAGTGGCTACTGTTGAGTTTTCCAAATTTGCTGGCATATTGAGTGCAGCACTTTAACTGCATCATCTTTTAGGGTTTTACAAAGTCTTACAGTGGTCCAACCTTGCTTGTCCAGCAGCAAGTTGAGGGCTTCGGGCAAAGAGATGGCATAGTCACCATAGATTTCAGGGATTTCATGGACTATCTACAAAATAGCAAAAGAATGGCATATCGGCAACTGTAATGTCAAGATTAATTATTTTAATTCTATTTGATGAGGTGGATTAGCACCTACCCTATGTTCCATGTTCAGGGCACATAAATGAGTCACACTTCAAGCCTCAGGGTGCTCACAGGTGCACATAAATGCACACAGGTGGCTCTAACTTGGCTGAATGATCTGTGTGTGTGCACTCATGTCCAAGAAGTACAAACCAGTAGCTGTAGTCATTCCAGGGTGGGAACAAGCCCTGCCAGCCCCAGAGCTGAGCCTTGCCCAGGAGGATCAGATGTTATTGGTGCATTAGGATGAGCAACACAGCAGTGTGTGGTAAGTGAAGCACCAAGGTGGAGCACCTGTGTAGCATACACATTAAATAGCCATGGTTCTGGAACCAAAGCAAGAGTTGAAATCAATATTGGTGAGAGGGGATGAGGGAAGGGAGGAAGGGAGTGAGTATTCCAATGGGAGATACAAAATCAAGTAGAGAACAGAAACACTCCAGAGAAAACATGAAGATAGAGAAACAGGTATTTGAGGGAGGAAGCAGCTTTGAGGAGCAAGATTCATGGCAGCACAGAAGAACATCAGTTGTGGTTTTAAGAATGAGCTGTCCTCGGCCAGTGATGGTTGACCTGAAGCATATTCTGCCATAGTGTTCCCTACATGTGTGCTTTGCTACCTCTGTACTCTGTGCCTTTGTACTTTGCATTCTGTACACTTCCCACTGATTCTATGTGCATATCTTGGAAAGAGCACCCCAAGTTTATATGGCAAATGTTTTCTTTTACTATTCTGACTATGTGTTAATAAAGGCCTTTGTTAAGAGCTAATTGGTATCTATTGAATGGTTTTTAATGGGAAGCATACTGGTCAGGGCTCACGAGCTGTCATTTTGAGAAGTTTGGTCCCAAACTTTCCACCTCAGTGAGGCAGGCAGCCCAGCTCCCACACATCTACTCCAGCAAAAACACAATAATTCCACCAAACTGAAGAACAACCAAGAAATCCAAAGAGGAACTACAGTGAACAAATTCTTCCAGCCCAGAAGCATACCAACAGCCAGGCAGAAGTCCATGGACAAAAGGAAAGGGGGGCCTCTAGCAAAGCCAGCCCCCAACCACACAAACAAGACAGTGACCAGAGAGGGGCCAGAGACAAGAGCAGCTTGCAAGGCTCTGTATCTGGAGAGCAGAGGACACCTTTAAGAAAGCCCCCAGTTGGGGCAGCTAGGTGGCAAAGTGGATAGAGCACTGACTCTGGAGTCAGGAGGACCTGAGTTCAAATCCAGTGTCAGACCAGACACTGGACACTTACTAGCTGTGTGACCCTGGGCAAGTCACTTAACCCCTAAACCTGCCTTGCCAAACAAACAAAAAAAAAAAAAGAAAGAAAACCCCTAGTAGTCACAAACCCACAGCATGGCTCAGGGAAGCTACCAGGTACAGGTTTGACAAGAAAACTCACCATGTCCCAAACTGAACTCTTTATTCCCAGCCCCAAGTCCCCCCCTCCTCTTCGGCACCACCTCCCAGGTACCCAGACTCACAACCCAGGGATCATCCCCAGATCCTCAATCTCTCCATTCCCACCCCTTCTCCCGGCCTATATCCAGTCAGTGGACAAGTCCTGGGCTTTCTTCCTTCATCAACTCTCTTGTATTCAAACACCTTTTCTCCTCTGACACAGTCCCCTCCTGATGTAGGCCCTTATCACCTCCCTCCTGGACTACGAGAGGAGTTGGTTTCCCTGCCTCAAATCTCTCCATACTGCAGGAAACTGAAAAGTAATCTTCCTAAAATGCAAGTCTGACCCACACCACCCCTATTTAATAAACTCTAGGGAACAAACCTTGGCAACAGAGCTTGGGGTTTCCCTTGCTCCCAATAATGAGAAATAGTGATCAGAAGTTAGATTGAATCTAACCAGATCCCCTAAAGCTAGAATATTTGAGGAGGCAGACCAGTAGAACTCTAGCCTAGTATCCCCTCTTTCTAAAGAAAGCAGAGTAGCTTCTAGCCCCAGCTTTCTGCTTCCCCTCCAGGTAGGAGAACGAATGTCTCCCTTGGAAAAAGGAGAAGGACAAGAGGGAGAAAAAGCTAAAGATGTCTCTGCTGCCTCCCTTTGATCCACACAGCGATTCCCCGAATTCTGTAGGCAGGGGGGTGGGCATAGCCCCTTGCTACACTTGAGGCCTCATTACAATGATTACCAAATCGACGACCAACCATGTTTTCAGAGCACCTATGATGAACCACCACTCCTAACAGGAGTGGTAGACTCCCTTCTCTTAGGAGCACAGAAAGGCACAAATGTTTTTGGACATTAATGGAGGGATTTTTTTTTTTGCTTGACTATACTAATTGTTACAAGGATTTGTTGTTGGTGCTGTTTATTTTTAATTGAGGAAATGTCATATTGAAGCAAAAAGGAAAGAAAAAAGAAGGGAGGGTCATTGGACCATTTAAAAATTATACATATTTTTCAGTTGATATATTTTAATATACTTAGTTTAACATATGCATATATTATATGTTTTATATATTTTAATAATATATTTTATATTTTAATTATATTTTATAATTTAATATATTGTTTTCAGTTATATATGCTTTTTTTTCCTGGAAACTTTACCTTCTCTTCCTCTCTCTTCCTTCTCCTCTCTCCCACTGAAATATTTTACTAAATGCACAGATGGGTACAGAGGGAGACTCATAAGGAAGCACAGACAGTAAGAATAGTCTGCAAAGTAGCGGGTTGAACTTATTACATGCTTTTTATTGATATGGAATGGAAATCCTTGACTTCACATACGATCGTTCTTCTGTTTGTATATGGACATTTAAAGTGCTTTTTTAAAATTCAGAATTAAAAAAAACATTTGAAAATAGAAGAGATACAGCATCACTAACGTGAAAATATGTGTAATAGGAATGTATATGTATAGCATATATCAGATTGTGCTATGTCTTGGGGAGGGTGGTGGGGAGGGGGGGGAGAAAAACTTTAAATTCAAAAGCTTATGGAGGTGATTGCTGATAAATCAAAATGAATTAATTAAAAAAATAGAAGCGAGGTCTCATTGGTCTCCCTAGACTCCAAGGTCATCACTTCCTTGGGGACCTAAACTGCAAACCTGAGTGCTGAGTTTGAGGAGTGACCCAGAGCAAGAGCTCCAGGAGATTTAGGTTGGAAAGGGGCTCAGTGGCCTTCTGGTCCAGCCTGTAACCATGCTATTATTCAGTTCGGGGAAGAGGAGAGGAAGAGAAACTGATACACCGAGAAAGAGAAAAAAGACAGCTGCACACACCAGAGTCAGAGGAGGGCATCACAAGTAACAGAGAGAGGAGAGGGAAAAGAGACGGTGAGAAAGTGAGATATACACACACATACAGATATTCACAAAAATACATTCGTAGCGGCACAGAGGGAGACAACCATTCACATCCACAGAGGAGAGATGAAGGGATGGAGAGGAGGGTGATGGGCTGGTTAAGGAGCCCCCCTGGGTTGTTGATCCTAGAATACTCTCACCTCCCTTTGGAATTCTCACCATCTTTCCAACATCAGGAAACTGGTTGGTTCCTTTTCTTCTTAAACTTTATTGATTTTAAGATCCATGGAATTACAAAGTTTGTGACACACACAGATACAGACAGAGAGAGAGACAGAGACAGAGAGACAGACAGAGACAGACTGTGGGGAGGGGAGAGAGGGAAGAGAAAGGGGAAGAAGGAAGGAAGAGAGGAAGAGGAAGGGAGAGGGAAACGGGGGAGGGGAAGATTTGACAAATTCTCTTTAACAAACGTGAGAAAGAAGGAAAATATTGTCCACATGAGAAAAGCTATTTCAGTGTCAAAGGTGCGGAATGTAATTGCCGCAGCCGGGGCTATACAGGATTCTGAAATAAGCCTGCCTCCGATGGGGAACGGCGCCAGCGCTGTGAAATGAGTCTCAGAGACCTCCAGTGACGGACAAGGCTGCTTGCCGCAGCCCAGCGCCGCCTCCGCCTCTCGGCAACCCCGGCCTCCCCTTGGGTCTCCAGCCCCCGCCCCCAGACCCCGGGCCCGGGGACTTTGGCCGCGGATGTGGCAGTCCCCCCGGGGTTTGTGGCTGTTCTCCCGACAAGGACCGGGCCGCAGCATCCGCGTGAAAGAAGCGTTTCATGTCTCATCTAGTTAAAAGAACTGCCCGCACTGAAGGCCTCGCGGGTCTTTGTCCAAAGAGAGAAAATGCTTGAGAAGAACCGCACGGAAGGGAACACAATGGAGTCTGCGTGAACAGCAGTGCGTTGGGGTCTCAGAGAGAGAGCAGCTCCCTTTCTGTAAAGCAGAGGTTTTTAACCCTTTGTGTCGTGAACCGCTTGGAAAGCCTGGTGACGCCTACGGATCCGACTTTGTCCAAATGAGGTTTTTAAACCCACGAAATGACATCCCTACAATTATATTGAAATACTGCTATCAGGATATGCAAACACGAGCCTCAGACGCCAGAGTTAGAGCCCTTGTTTTAAAGTTCAAAGGTTTTCTGTGGGAAAATCGTCTGTATGATGTCTATTCAGAAGATAAAGTGAGTTTTTGAACTTGAAAAATCAGTCTGGACCCTATCCAGGTTGGCAAGAGATAGTGGCCAGAGGGCTGGGACTTGGAGACTGGAAGACCTGGGTTCCAGTCCTGATGTCTGGTTGCCTCTGGGCACGTCCCTTCACCTCTGTGTTCCAAGGAAACTCGAAGCCTCTGCATTCCCCATTCCTGTCTGCATTGGTAGAAGGAGGTTTTATTCCCACCCGATGAAATCCTAAATCAAGGGTCGGTGGGTCGGTTGGTCGGTCGGTCTCTCTCTCTCTCACTCTCTCTCTCTCTCTCTCTCTCTCTCTCTCTCTCGCGCGCGCGCGCACACACACACACACACACACACACACACACACTCACACAATTTAACTTCCACATGGGAAGAATGTGTGTAGGGTATTGTTGCCCTGTGTCACACAGGGATGTTCTCATTCAATCTCTTCATTATATAGATGAGGAAATTGGGGCGCAGAGAGATTGAAGTCACTTGTCCACAGTGAATGGCAGTGTCAGAATTCTAACCCAGCTCTTTTGACTCCACTCCCCATTGAAAGACAGTACACCCCAAGGGGCAGTAGCTCTCACTGGCTAACAGCCCCAAGGTTCTCCTTTTTAAGCCCGGTACTAAAGGAATCTTGAAGCACACGTCTGCTCTTAGACCCATTTGTAGTGAAACATGATGTAACCCTATCTCATGTGCTCTCCAAGAGAAATCGACTGTATGAAAAAGTCCTTTTCTCCACATGGCAGTGTGGGCAACTTTGCATTTGTCCTTCAGCAAAAAAGTGAGAAAAGACAATTGTGATGGCCGATGAATTATTTAAATTCTCCATTTGACTCAGGTAGTCTCAATGTCAGAAGAAGAAAATCAAGTCAAACGAAGGAAGCCAGAAGTGAATTTCAGTGCACGTGCTACCTGGGGAGACTCTAGGACTTAGGAGATTCAGCCTGGCTGTGCCCGACTAAGATCTGAAAGGGAATTAACCCTTAAATCTCCCTCCAAGATCCAACTAAGTCTAGTCAAGGATATGGAGAAATTGAAAAGGTCCTCCCCTCAAATCTTCGGAAACCCTACCATTAGAAATTCATTCCTGGGGGCAGGTAGGTGCGGTGGATAGCACCGGCCCTGGATTCAGGAGGATCTGAGTTCAAATCCGACCTCAGACACATAACACTTAACTAGCTGTGTGACCCTGGGCAAGTCACTTAACCCCATTTCCTAGCCAAAAAAAAAAAAAGAAAAAAAAGAAATTCATTCCTTTCAGATTATTCTATATTAAGATACAAATACCCTAGGGAAGAATGACTAAACAGTCATTTGCACCTTAGTGTGAATTTGTTTATAAAATCTTCTCTCACCCCTGGCTAACTGAAAGCAGGTGAAAGTATAGATAGACTAGAGAGGGTGGGGGGGTAGTGCATATAAAGATCTGGGAGGCATTTAAGGAAGAAAAAGGGGTCACAGCTCTATGTAGCCTAGATGTCTAAATACCAAGAAACCCAGACTCATGCACAAGATGTTCAGTTGACTGATGTATCATCTCAACATATTGGAATTCCAAATTCATTTACATAGACTCTCAGACTTTGAAAGAGACTTTAGAACCCATTGGACCAAAGTCCACTCTATTTTAACTGATTTCCAAGGTAAAGAGTCTCATTTCATATGAAATGGATAATAAATTAGTTTAATTGATAAATTAATACATCACAGTGGGGACAGAGCATCCCATCTCCAAATGATCCTAGGTTAATTCATTTTTAAAAATTAATTAATTTTTAGTTTTCAACATTCACTACTATAAGCTTTTGAGTTTTAAATTTTCTCCCCCTCCCTCTTCCCCAAGACAGCATGCAATCTGATATAGGCTCTACATATAAATTCCTATTGAACATATTTTCACATTAGTCATGTTTTAAAGAAGAATTAGAATCAATAGGAGGAACCATAAGAAAGAAGAAGCAAAATAAAACAGGAGAAAAAAAAGGGCAAATAGTATGCTTTGATCTGTGTTCAAACTCCACAGTTCTTTCTCTGGATGTGGATAGCATTTTCCATCATGAGACTTTTGGAGATGCCTTAGATCCTTGCATTGCTGAGAAGAGTCAAGTCTATCAAAGTCAGTCATCGCACAACATGGTTGTTACTGTGTACAACGTTCTGGTTTTGCTCACTTCACTCAGCATCAGATCATACAAGTCTTTCCAGGTATTTTCTGAAGTCTGCTTGCTCATCGTTTCTTATAGCACAACAGGATGCCATCACATTCATATACCACAACTCGTTCAGCCATTCCCTAATTGATGGGCATCTCCTCAATTTCCAATTCTTTGCCACCACAGAAAGAGCTGCTATAAAAATTTTTGTACATGTGGGTCTTTTCCCCATTTTTATGATCTTTTGGGGATAGAGCCTTAGAAGTGGTATTGCTGGGTCAAAGGGTATGCACTTTTTTTTTTCCTTTTTTTTTCGGTGAGACAGTTGGGGTTAAGTGACTTGCCCAGGGTCATATAGCTAGTAGGTGTCAAGTGTCTGAGGCCAGAGGATATGCACATTTTTATAGCCCTTTGGGCATAGTTCTGAATTGCTCTCCAGAATAGTTGAATCAGTTCACAACTCCACCAACAGTGCATTAGTGTTCCAATTTTCCCACATCTTCTCCAATATTTATCATTTTCCTGTTCTGTCATATTGGCCAATCTGATAGATGTGATGTGGTACCTCAGAGTCATTTTGATTTGCATTTCTCTAATCAATAGTGATTTAAAGCATTTTTTCATATGACTATAGATAGCTTTAACTTCTTCATCTGAGAACTGCCTGTTCATATCCTTTGACCATTTATCAATTGGGGAATCACTTGTATTCTTATAAATTTGACTTAATTCTCTCTATATTTTAGAAATGAGACCCTTATCAGAGACACTGGTTGTAAAAATTCTTTCCCAGTTTTCTGCTTCCTTCCTAACTGACTTCGTTTGTGCAAAAACTTCTCAATTTAATGTAATCAAAGTTATCTACTTTGCATTTCATAATGTTCTCTGTCTCTTGTTTGGTCATAAATTCTTCTGTTCTCCATAAATCTGACAGGTAAACTATTCCTTGCTTGCTCAGTTAGCTTATAGTATCTGTCTTTATATCTAAATCATATACCCATGGGGCAGCTAAGTGGTGCAGTGGATAGTGCTCTGGCCTTGGAGTCAGGAGGACCTGAGTTCAAATCTGGCCTCAGACATATGACATTTACTAGCTGTGTGACCCTCAGCAAGTCACTTGACCCCAATTGCCTCATCAAAAAAAATAAAAGTCATATACCCATTTTGACTTTATTTTGGTATATGATGTAAGATTTGGTTTATGACTAATTTTTGCCATACTCATTTCCAGTTTTCCCAGCAGTTTTTGTCAAATAGTGAGTTCTTATCCCAGAAGCTGGGGTTTTTGGGTTTATCAAACAGTAGATTACTATAGTCGTTGACTACTCCGTCTTGTGCACCTAATCAATTCCACTGATCCACCACTCTATTTCTTAGCCAGGACCAAGTAATTTTGATGACTGCTGCTTTACAATACAATTTAAGATCTGGTATGGCTAGGCCATCTTCTTTCGCATTTCTTTTCATTAGTTCCCTTGGTATTCTGGATCTTTTGTTTTTCTAGATGAATCTTGTAATTGTTTTTTCTAGCTCTATAGGTTAATTCATTGTTTATTCCACCTGCAGCTACTATGTGTGGGGTACTGAAGTGAGGTCTTGGGGATACCGAGATACCAAGACAAAAGTAAAGTTCCTGACCTCAGGGAACTTTGGTTCTGTTGGGGGAATAACATGCATAAAGATAAGTGAATGTGATACATGTATATGTGTGAGAGACAGTCAGAAACTGAGAGACAAAGAGAAGGGAGAGGGGGAAGGGAGGGACAGATGGAGAGAGAGAAGGGGGAGGAAGGAGAGAAGGGGGCAGAGCAAGAGTGAGAGACAGAGACAGAGACAGAGAGAGACAGAGACAGATGGACAGAGAGAGACAGAGACAGAGACAGAGACAGAGAGAGACAGAAACAGAGAGAGACAGAGACAAAGACAGATGGACAGAGACAGAGAGAGACAGACAGAGACAGAGAGAGACAGAGACAGATGGACAGAGACAGAGAGACAGAGACAGATGGACAGAGACAGAGAGAGACAGACAGATGGACAGAGACAGACAGAGACAGAGAGAGACAGAGACAGAGAGACAGAGACAGATGGACAGAGACAGAGAGAGACAGAGACAGAGACAGAGAGAGACAGATGGACAGAGACAGAGACAGAGAACCGGACCTGGAGTCAGGAAGACAGGTTTAAATCCTACTTCACTCACTTAGTAGCCATGACCCAAGCAAGTTACTTAATCTCCCTCAGCCTCAATTTCTTCATCTGCAGAATGGGGATAATAACAACATCCACTATGCAGAATTTTTGTGAGGTTCAAATGAGATAATATCCAAAAAGCATTTTGCAAACCTTAAAACTCTATGAAAATGCTAATTATTACCAAAGTAAATGCAAAGTAATTGGAAGGAGGCAAGGGTGGGAGATCAGG